AAAAAAAAATATATATATATATATATATATATATATATATATATATATATATATATATATATATATATATATATATATATATATATATATATATATATATATATATATGATAGAATAGAATTAGATTAGACTGTAACCCTGGAATAAAATGTCTAACTAAATTTAACAGAATTCTTTCAAACTTTTCCAATTTTCAATTAATTTAAACGGAAAAAGAAAAATAATGAACGCCTAAAGAAACAAAAAGATTATTTTTATTTAATATAAAAAAAATTAAATGAATTAGTTGAACGACTGAAATAAAGATGTCGTCCGGGCATTGTAAATTGCGACTTTCTAAATGCAATTATCCATTAAATAAAAAATAAAAATGGGGCCCAGACAATGACAGGTCAACGACAATAATATATTGATCTGGACTATGTTTTAAATTTATAACTATTGACGATATTAATGACTGACTACAAAAAGGAAACCATCTCCTTTTATTTCTAAAATACCCTAATCATTCTAAATAATTCCCGCTATGTCCCTTGACTCTGAATCATCTCCTTCCTCGAGCAGGGACTGGTTCTTCCCTCCACAATCCTTCGTACAGTCTTACCCCGCCAAATCTCAAACCTACATCCGTCGATTTTCTGAAACTTCTCGGATATCGCGGCGCTATGCCGATCATCAGAGGTATCGGAAGAGTTCGTCGTGTATTTCTGATTCGCATTCGTGTTCATCGACCAGTAATGATGCCAAGTTTGCTCGTACTCGTCGGAGAATTGATTTCGATCGCCGCAGCGACCTGTCGCTTAAACGTTCCGAATTGGAATTTTCTTCGAAACGGAAGTTGGAGCAGTCCGACGTCTCGAGCTCGGCGAAGAAAGTGTCTGATACCTCGCGGTTGTTTAGGTCGTTTGACAGTACGCTGAAAGTTCGATGGCGTTTTTTGGCTATTGCAGCGTCGGTTTGTTCTCGCTCTCCATCTCTTTCAACGTGTCTTGAGTTATTAACGATTTGAAGTTGACGTGCTTGTATTTGTGTAGATTTTTATCGTGATTTTTGCAACATTGTTGCATGAAAACTCATCTTTACAGGAGCAAGTCAACGGCTTAGAGGTACTCAGTTTGCAAATTACGATTTCGGTGGAATCTGACTCTCATTTCATATAGCTTTTTACCTTTCTTTTTTCTATGAATTCAACGGGCTTTTCCACTGCCTGCGCTTGTTACTCCTTTTATGTAAGTTGCTTTCCACCTGCAGGCCCGGATTTCTAATCTTAACATCAAATTACGAGCGTGTAATTTGTTCGACTCTGGAAGTGAAGATGATGTACGTTCACCGGACGAACTTGCTGATTTTATGGATAAAAGATTAAAAACTTTAGCCTTAATCACATCTCTTACACTTCTGTTGGCTCCTATTATTATCCTCAAGTACATTGACTCTAAATCAAGATCACTGGAGCACAATTTGGAAGAAATTTCACTCAATAAGCAGCTTTTGTATAAGGTGGATGTTTTTTTCTCTGTTCACCCATATGCTAAGCCACTGGCATTATTGATAGCAACTCTACAACTAATTATGCTTGGAGGTTTAGCACTATTTGGAGTGACAGATGATAGCTTAGTCGATTGTCTTTGGTTATCTTGGACATATGTTGCTGATTCTGGAAACCACGCCAACTCTGAAGGTATTGGTCCAAGGCTAGTTTCAGTTTCCGTTAGCTTCGGTGGGATGTTAATATTTGCTATGATGCTTGGCCTTGTATCCGATTCAATATCTGAAAGGTTCGACTCACTTAGAAAAGGAAGAAGTGAGGTTGTTGAACAAAATCACACTTTGATCCTTGGATGGAGCGACAAATTGGTAAAAATCTAATTTCTATTCGTCTTATGCTGATATTTCATTTACTAAATGTTGTGGAAATAAGTTGCATGGTTTATGCTTTTATAATAATTACTTGATGCAAAATGTGGTGCTTAAAGTAGTTATATCACATTGCTAATTCATCTTCTTCTCCTTTTCTGTTTGCAATGCTATTACATGGATCTAGGGGTCACTTCTGAATCAGATTTCTATAGCCAATGAGAGCTTAGGAGGAGGAACTGTTGTGGTGATGGCTGAACGAGACAAAGAAGAGATGGAACTTGACATTGCTAAAATGGAGTTTGATTTTAAGGGAACCTCCGTTATATGCAGAAGTGGAAGCCCATTAATTCTGGCAGACTTGAAGAAGGTACTTCTATGTAATGCACAAACGTTGCGGTGCTGATATTGTCTTCCATCTGTCAATAAGTTTTCTAAATAACTCAAACTAATTGTAGCCCCTGTACTTGGTCAACCAAACTAAAATCTTTAGTTTATTAACATGAAGTCAGAGTCATCAAATGAATCATAACTAGGAAAAGAAATTAGCTTCTGTCCCGACTTACGGATTTTGATAGTGTTTCTACCAGTGACTAATTGCTAGTTTAAATTTTAAAAATTTTGTGAATGGTTAAAAGTACAACAGCGAAAAGGAGCCTCTTTAGGCTTTTAATCAGGAGCATCTTCTCATCGTGATAGTCTGTCTTTATGGTTCATGAATACCATAAACTTCCAAATGTGCATATGATTATTTACATTAGAATTTTTTCTGCCGCCATGTATACAGGTCTCAGTGTCAAAGGCCCGTGCAATTGTTGTCATTGCTGAGGATGGAAATGCTGATCAAGTAAGTGGAAATATTGGTATCATTGAGTTTTGATGATCGATTTTTATTTGATATATGTATGTCGCAGAGTGATGCCCGTGCATTGAGAACTGTTTTAAGTCTAACTGGAGTTAAAGAAGGTCTGAGAGGACACATAGTGGTGGAACTTAGTGATCTTGATAATGAGCTTCTTGTTAAACTTGTTGGTGGAGAGCTTGTTGAAACTGTTGTGGCTCATGATGTGATTGGTCGCCTGATGATTCAATGTGCTCGCCAGCCAGGACTTGCTCAGGTTTTTATCAAGTTAAACGATCTTGTTTTCTTTTTTAGATGGAATAAAATATTATCTCCATGCTTCTCAACGTTATTCTCATTGATCAAATGTATGTTCTGCCTTATTAGTTCATATAATAATTCTTTTCTACACCTTCTTATGAGTGACTCGTGTATTTCTTTTCATGCGGTTGTAGATTTGGGAAGATATCCTTGGTTTTGAAAACTGTGAATTCTACATCAAAAGATGGCCACAATTGAATGGCATGCAATTTGAGGACGTATTGATCAGCTTTCCTGATGCAATTCCTTGTGGAATCAAGGTTGCATCACGAGGTGGTAAAATTGTACTGAATCCTGAGGACTCATATGTCCTGCAAGAAGGTGATGAAGTTCTTGTTATAGCAGAGGATGATGATACTTACGCACCAGCTGCATTACCTACGGTGCTTTCATTTCCCTGTAGAAATTTCATTCCCCCCCATACTAACGTCATTCACTTTCTGCTACTGTATTGCTTGCTTTCCTTTCTTGTAGTGGTATTTTATATTTCAACGTCTCTTTAGGAATTTTACAGTCATGCAGTTAGGGGGGAGGGGTGGGGTGTTGGTGGTTGGATTTGGTTAACGAATTCAAAATGCAAGAGAAGGAATTAGATCGATATATAGGCACTCCCGAGCTTACCTATGAGGGAATTTTATGGATTTATTTGTCAAATAAACTATGTTGACAAAGGGCAATCTGGAGAGAGAGAGAGAAAGCATTATTTGTTTGTGCCTATTGCCAAGACCAGCATGAAAGCCACAGAAGATTCTACTTTGTGGATGGAGGAAAGAGAGAGAGAGACAGAGTTATTTAAATAAAAGCTCTGATAGCTTTCTTTGGATGATTCCTATAATGGATAGAAGTGAGAAAAACACCTTACAACTAAAACTTACAATATTATAACTAATTTGATCATTCAGGTAGGAGAAACATCGTTCATTCATATTGCAAGGCCAACAAGAAAGCCACAGAAGATTCTACTTTGTGGATGGAGGAGAGACATTGACGATATGATTGTGGTGAGTGCTTTTATTAAAGCTCTAATTCTTTCTTTTTGGCATTGGATGCTGCAGGTTTGGAGGGGAAGTCTTCCCAAAGATTTTATTGTTCCAAAATCTGCTGAAAGAATCCTGTTGTGTGGTTGGCGGCGAGATATGGAGGATATGATTATGGTAATGTTAATAAGATCTAAGCACATGCTCCCAGTGCTTCTTGGGTGCAGGTCCTAGCGTTCACATCATGATCATTGTCATTTTTCACATTTTTCGTTTTCAGCTACTGAGAGTAGATTTCATGCTTGTACTTTCTTCTTTTACAAATCCATGCATGCTGCTTCATTTATTGGAATGAGCTCTTTATTGTCCACATTGGTTTCTACCATTATAGGTATTGGATGCATTTTTAGCTCCGGGTTCAGAGCTTTGGATGTTCAATGATGTTCCTGAGAATGAAAGGGAAAAGAAACTTGTTGATGGCGGTCTTGATATCAGCCGATTGGAGAATATATCTTTGGTTGACCGTGAGGGAAATGCTGTCATTAGGCGTCATTTGGAAAGCCTTCCCTTGGAATCATTTGATTCAGTGAGTAGCATGATTTCTTTTCTCACCCTAGAAGCCAAGTATGAGAAGAAAACTACTTTGTTACTGTTAAAAGTGAATTATTCTCTTTTTTGTATTTTATTCTGTTGTGACATAACCACAATCTGTACAGATCTTGATTCTTGCTGATGAATCTGTAGAGGATTCAGCAATTCAAGCTGATTCAAGATCTCTAGCAACCTTGTTGCTAATACGTGATATTCAGGTACTTCTTTTGAGATTTGATGTTAAATATATTAGCTTCTTGTATGGCATTAACTGCTCTAGCTATGCTCATGGGAGTAAATTCTTTGGTCTTTATGGTTTATTATTTTTTATTTTTTTGTTTCATAGTCTAGAATATGCATACATATTATTGCCATAAAAATCTTGCTTTTAGAGTCTTATTGCATTTTTTGCTGTGACGTGATAAGATTTTCATCTTTCCATCTGGTCATTTGTTCAATCAGATTTGTGGTTTTTGCAGGCTAAGCGTATGCCAGTCAGAGGTGCTAAGACTGTGACATACAGGGGAAGTGTCTCGCAAGGCTCCTGGATTGGAGAAATGCAGCAGGCTTCTGATAAATCGGTTATTATAAGTGAAATTCTGGATCCAAGAACTAAAAATCTGCTTTCAATGTCAAAAATCAGTGACTATGTATTGTCAAATGAACTTGTCAGTATGGCCTTAGCCATGGTGGCTGAAGATCGTCAAATAAATGATGTTTTGGAGGAGCTCTTTGCAGAAGAGGTATTTTTACTTTTCAATCATAAGGAAAAACATAATTGGTTGTTTTCCTAACCTACCGCTTCTCTGTTATTATCAGGGTAATGAATTGCATATAAGGCAAGCTGATCTGTACCTTCGTGAAGGGGAGGAACTGAGTTTCTATGAAGTACTTTTACGAGCTCGACAGCGAAGAGAGATCGTGATTGGTTACCGTTCAGCTCACGCTGAAAGAGCTGTTATCAACCCTCCAGCCAAGCATGAGCGACGGAAGTGGTATCTAGGAGATGTTTTTGTAGTGATAGCCGAAAAGGAATGACATTCGTAGTGCCATTTCTATATAGTAAGTGATTCTTCTTCATCATTTCAGTGATTTGATTTTCATGATAGAATTCAGAAATTAATTCCATCTGAAAAACCGAATTTAGAATAATCTCAATCAAATGACTTACACTTAGAACTCAGTACAATCTATAGAACACATCCTATCCAAGGTCATAGCCTTAAACAATTGTTTGGAGTTGTTAATACAATATGCACTCTTTATTCAGGTAGACTAGTAATCCGAAGGGACAGGCAAAGCATCAAAAAGTGTTTATGTTTCAGAGAAATTATTCAGGAGGTGGCTGGTCAACAGCCTTCCCTCTCTCTCTTAGCTTGGCCATAGCTTCTTTCATGGCTTCCTTCCTCTTTCTGCTAGCTAGCACTTTTGCCTGAACTCCACTCAGATTGGGGTCCTTCTTCTCTTGCGGGGGAGGTGGCGGCGGCCTCCTGGCAGCCGCCTCTGCACTCTGGACAACCACATTATTCAGTCCAAGCATTGCCCCTGTCAAGATCAATGCAGCGTTCCTGCAATTTGAAGAGGAATTCGAACACAGAATTTTTCGTGTTAGACCATCCTTGAATCTAAAAACTGTTGCGATATATTCAAGTAATGACTGGTACGACTAACAGATAGTCGCATTGGATGCACAGTGATAGGAAACAAATGGTTGTACCTGCGGGAGATGAGATGGGTACGTGCAGTTTGATTGCACGCGTGGCTGCGAGCCTGCAGATTCGGAAGCCTGAGACAGGTGGAACATCGTGGGTTGCTGAATCTGGCGGCTGTGGCATTAGCAGTGGCGGATATTGAAGATAGTGAATGTGCCATTGTTTCTCAATCTCTCACATTACCATGCGGGAGTTTAGGAAATTATACAATCATTTCTAGTGCTTAATCAAACAGACTATCATCAAAGAGGATATCGCGTTTGGCTTCTGAAGAGTATGAATATCGAAATCTATTGGTCAGTTGTGGATAAGGCGCTGTAGTTGTGGGCCCTACACCCAATTCCTCTTCCCATTTTGGATTGGAAAATTTTGAGAGAGATCGAACCATAACCTTAGAACAAACAGTAGCGCTCACTACTCTCTTAATCTTTTAATTAAATGATTTTAACCTCCAAAATTTGCCTCATGAATGAAAAATTACTTGAAAGATGAAAAAGAAATCCTTTGACAAAAGAAATATATGTTATAAAATTTAATGGCTGAATCTAATTTCTTGAGGAAATTGATAGAAAAATTGGCATGAGGTGCTGAAGTCAAAACTTGATTTGCATTAGAAGAGATTATGGCTGGCTCTCAAAAGTGACGCAAAGTCAAGACTAGCAGAAGTATAATAATCTAAGTAACATAACAATCCAGAGATGTGAAAAGTTCTGGACTAACAAACGTAACTTAATAAGAAATAGCAGAACTGCAATAAAATCCTTGAATGTGGACACCAACTTGTGTTGTTTCATAATTTTATCTTTCACTCGTCGTCCTCATCATCGTCGTCATCCTCATCAGCATGAGCTTTAGAGTTAAGCGCATTCAAACGCTCAACCAAGCGGGCTTTTCTTTCGTCGTATGTCAGCTTCTTCAAGTTGTACCTGTCATTCAAAAACCCACCAATAGGAAATATTAAGACAGAAGCCTCTTAGGAACAATTTCAATCAATTTCCAAAGACCCGAGCACCATTTCTACCTCTTGTGTGCCTTGGGTTGTGGCTTGTCAGATTTCTTGACTACAGGGTCTGCACGAATGGCAGCATGAACTTTCTTGTATAGTCCCTCAATGTTATCGGCCTCGATGCCCTTCTTGATGTATTGGCTGAAGTGAGATTGATACTTCTCTGGTTCATCTTCCATCAAAGTCTAAAAGGCATATGAACGGAAAGGCAAACATTGTTGATAACATTTTTAAAGAGTGAAATAACAACCATCTTTCAGATAAGGTATACATACCCTCATGTATGCAGCAACGTGGCCACCAAAAATGTACTTACGATGAACTTCAGCATCAAGCTGCTTACCATCCTTGGAAAAACCAGCAAACCTCTTTTCGCTGTGAGGAATGTCCAATCCACCATCCAAAGCACCCTGCGTTTAACAAATTGAGATACGTTGCAAGCCAGACAAACCACAAATTCACAGACAAACAATCATCACAAGATGAGAACAGCTTCTACATTATCAATTTCACTCGGGCACAGAACTATAATAGACTGAAAAAATACAGGAAAACAAAATGGTTTTAAACCCAGAAGATGTTCAATAGACTGGCAATAAACGGTAAATATTAGTTCGAACGTAATGGAAACACACGCAAATGTAGAATATAACGATATTAAATAACAATGGAAACCAGTTGTCCTTGAAATAAGATCATATTTAAAATGCCAACTCTATCAACACAGCATGAATTCAACATTTTAATAAAGCATTGGTGAGAAAAAATCTTAATCTATTTAAGAGATGATAATAATATCAGCTTACTGATTAACTAGAAGTTGAATACGCAGTCACTAGGTACCTTAAGAGCACCAAAAACACGATTTCCAGTTGTGGTTTTGAGAAGACCAACATCAAGGAGAGCACGGAATGGCCTTCTTGTATCTGCTGGCTCAACTGAGTAATCTTCACCAGTAGCCTATGAATGCAAGGTCATGGCATGTTAAGCGAATTGAAAATATGATAGATATAGAGATAAAAAAAATGGTTAAGATTCAAGATACCTCCACATTGCCCTCGTATTCTTCATCCATATCAAGCATTTTCAAGACACGTCGAGCCAAGAGAAGTCCAGTGCAGTATGCTATGCAGTTATAAAGAATTGTTCAAACACTAGATAGATTAAGGGGAACATTCAAAATGAAAACATACAAGGAATAAAATGATGAAAAGGATTAAAAACACACCTGCAGCATAGTTGGTGAGACCAACTTCAAGCCCATAGCGGGGAAGCTCATGAGAATAAGCTGAAGCAAGGACCAAATCACCGGCAATGCTAGCAGAAATAATTTGAGCTGTAACGTCTTTGTTTGACTATTGAAATCCGTTAAGAACATACGTCCCAAGATGTGCATTAAAGTAGGTGTCTTACTAAAGTAATTAATATAAAGAAATTAGAAGGACAAGAACAAATTATTTCCATTTGACCATTACAGAGCAACGATCATCCACGTCCTTGCACACATTTGGTAAATTTCTACAAAATATTCGGATTAAAATCTTTAGTAGGATACAAATCGAACAACAAAACGATACTTGGGAGTATTGTATTTGTTTTTGTCTTGATTAATAAGACGAATTCTGGCCCGATAGTCAGTCTTTCCCTCTGCGAATATTCAGACAAAGCCATCAGAAAATTAAATAAAGCCAAAACATTCGTATATTATTTATCTCGGAGAAAATTACCTCTTCTTCTCTTGAACTTGACTTGATAACGTTTGAAGTAGGCCTTTGTTTTCTGGGCTTTGGCAAAAGCCTACAATAAATAGCTCGACGTATAAGCACCCCCAGCATTGAAAATATATCACGAACCACAGAAAATATATGACGTCAAATTCAAAGTCAATGGTACAATGGCTCCCAAAACAAGGAAATAAAAGGACGATAGCTCAGATATGTGAAATCGAAGTCGGAAAACAAGTGCGCAGAAATGAGAATTCATATTCAGGTGGAGTGCGTGGGGAAATATTGAAGAAACCAGTAAAACTCTCAGTACTCTATTAGTTTACATACATGTCCAAACGTGCATAACATGAAATCTATGGCTACATACACGTCTCAGAAACAGTAAGATATAGATTCAACTACACAACGAACTGCGAAGATGAAAAATGCGAGGGAAAAGTAAATTCAGTGGAATCATGATGCAGTGAACTTCAATCGTATAACCAGACAGTAGAAACAGGTATATGATCCAACGGTGGGGCAAACCAAAGAAGAAAAAACGAGGGAAAACGCAAAAGGAGGAGAGAAGAAGCTCTCACCATTGTAGACTTGAAGCCGCGAGAACAGAAAGGAGCCGAAAGGGAAGTGGAGGAAGACAAGGGGAATGGGCAGACTCCCTTTATATAATAAACCATAGGTTTTCTTTTCTTTTGGGGCATAAAACCCTAGGTTGCTCGTAACGGGCTGACGGCCCATCTCACTATTGAAACTGGGCCGGGCCCATCTATTTTAAGGTACTTGAAATAAATTAAAAGTTTATGAGTTTCAATTATCTCATGGAGTCCCTCAAATTTATTATAAATTTTAAAAAATAAAATTTTCCTTATATATACATATATTTGTTTTATTTTTATTTAATTTTATAATTATTTATTTTTCAATTACTTTTTAAAAATTAATTTTTAAGAGTAACATTTTAAATAAATAAATAGATGTAAATAACATTGAATGAGGGCCAAAGACTCAAACATACGTCACTTGGCCATAAGCAACACAATAACAAATAGACTTAACTTACTTGTTGTTGGAAAGTGAATGCTGCACAATCGCAAGCCCGCTGCTATCAAAGTGCGATTGTGACAAATGGCGGGCTGAGTTGAGTTAATTATTTAGTAAAATGATAAAATAAAAATGTCTCGTTATCTATATATATATTTAGGCATTTTATGAATATTTATATATTTTAGGAATAAAATGTATAGTTTCTATTACAGATACCTTTTTATCGGACTAAGTTTTTAATCCTAAGCAATTTCAAATAATTTGGTATCAATACGAAGTTGGTATAGGTTGTATGATCTTTTAGAAGTATCAGTATGCTTTTATGGTTGTAGTTTGGTTGTGTTTGGTATTATTGAGGTATTATCAACACAATGGATCTCCTGACATCGGAGGAATCAAGAAACTAAACAATATTAACTACAACATATGGTAACTTGCATGACATCATATCTACGAGAACAAAACCTTTGGGAGGTCGTTGGCAAAAGCAAAATTACGCTTCTAGAAGAGGAACATAATGGTGTCTTGTGCAAATGAAGAATAAAGGCAGACAAGGTAATGTTGTCTTAAAAACCAAAGTCGAATAAGATATACCGAAACACGTTCGGGATGACAAGATGTTGAAATAAACATAAGACACGTTTGGGATAACAAGATGCCGAAAGAAGCATAAGACATGTTTGGGATGACGAGACTGTAAGTTATGGAGAACGAATTGTCAATTTATTGGAAGATTACTGGACTAGATTTAGAGTTTATCGTCGAATATGCTCCAATGAAGAGAATCATCATCAACTTCTTATATAGTTTGAAAATTTGACAGACAACCAACAAGTAATGACTGATTAGATGATAGATCTCAGACTGAATAATGAAGAATGAAGTATAAGCACTCCACACAAATAAACATCGAAGCAACAATAATTTTAAAAGAGGAGAGATTTGAAAGCATTTGCTGCATTTCAAAAACTTTTAATAATGTTGCACAATTCTTTGCCACGATGTTCTAAGATGTTATCGAAATTAAATATGGCTTGAAGACCACCACCTCGAGTGCATTTAAGCCATCCTCGTGGATTTTCTTATTATCGTTGACTTTTGACTTCACTCAACACGAGGAAGAGTAAACTCTATAGTCACATATTACTAGACTTCCTCTATCCCACTCTACTCCCTATCTCTCTCGACCTATTCACCGGAGTATGTTGGGCTGGAATGCCTTTGTCTTATGACTTTGACTCTTTTCGGAGGGTAGAGAAAAGAAGAATTTCTTTGTGTCTTTATTCAAGAACTCGATAAAGCTGTTTCGTTCGCTCATTCCCTTACTTTCTTAAATCAAACGAGAGTAAGAAAAGAAGAAGAAGAAGAAGAAGAACGGAAGGTCAGGTAATAAAGTTAAAGGTTTCGGAGTTCAGCAAGCTGCTCGACCAACAGAAAGAATAGAGACGAGAGAGAATATGCTCAAATTAATGTTGAATTTTTCCTTGTCCAACCAAGTTCAAGATTGAATAATGATTTATTTCCTTATTTACCGTGAATTCAATTAAACAGGTGAAAGAAAAAAAGAAAGAAAAGATTCGAGACATACCTTGTTTACAGTGAAATGAGGGAAGAGAATATCAGTTCAAGGGAAGGTTTTCGGTTGAGTTTTGACTTCTGAAAACGAAGAAGAATAATATGTTCCGGACTTAATTCATAAGGTAAATAGGGGAAGGTTAGGTAATAGAGTATAAGGTTCCGGAGCTCTCGTATCAACCACTTCTCGACCCACCCAACGAGAAAAACCCCGACCCTACCAACCAATTCCAAATAAAAAAAGAAAGAAGTATTATATATATATATATTTTGATATTCAAATAAAATTACATTAGAAGTATTATATATATATTTTGAAGTAGTGACTTATTTATTATTAATTTTTTAAAATTTAAAAGCTAGAATAAATTTGAAAAAAAAGACAAGATTAAAACGTATTTTAAAAGTCATTATTTTACTTTATTTTATTAATTTTTAAACATGGGAAGATGAAAATAAATACTTTGAAGTGGAGGAAATAAAATAATAAAAAACACAATTAATTATATGAAAATGAATTTAAAGCTAAGAAAAAAAAAAAAACATAACATATTTTTTCATATTTTAAAAATAGAATGATATTTAGTTTTTTCGGAAAGGCCGATTGCCAGTCTTCCACCTTCCATTGTTGGGAAGTGCAGCACCCTGGGCCTGGAGAGAGAGAGAGAGAGAGCGACGGAGGCAACAGCCACCCATCTTCACCACCCACCTTCTGCCATGTCCTCTTCCGTACGCCGAATTCCTCTAACAGGACCTTTCATCTTCTTCTTCTTCTTCTTCTTCCTCTCTTTCCTTCCTCCCGCGCTTGCTTCTGAGTCGGATCACAAGGTACGCAATTTCCTTATCTTTTGAGCTCATCTACCAAACTCTGCACACCAATGAATTGGCCACTTGATCTCCAAGACCTTTCCGTCTTTCCTCCATTTCTCTTTGGATTCTTTATGTCAGATCCGTGCACATTTTGATGCTTTTGCCGCCGTTTGATTGGTTTCGGGTTTTTGACATTAGTCTCTATTGCCGTTTTATATTTTGTCATTTTGAATGTGTTTGTGTTTGCGCTCTATTGCTGGACTGCCGTATTGGATCTCATTTCTGTTTTCACATGTCCATTGGTGTTTCTCACGTTCTAATTTAACCCGCGAACTGTCAATTTGCGGCGGAGGTAGGCGTATATAAGAATATTTCTTGAACTATCCAGCTGATATTGGTTCGACGGTGTCCAGATCACAGCAGTAGGAACGGAGTCTCTAGCAGTGATGAAGGATTCTTCACGAGTGTTCTTTTTTTTGAATTCTATAAATTTTTTTAATCCAAACCAAGGGGCCAACTGCTGCATTTAGACAATTAATTTATTTTGTTCAGATCCAAACTTAGCGTTAAGTCAGTCTGCCGCGAAATCTGTCAAAATTGACTGTAGCAATAAGAGTCTTAAAGACAATATAAGCATGTGTACACCTTTGCACAATCGTAGTTGGTGATGATAAGACACGCTCTTTTTCCTGCATAAATTCATCAGTATCCTTCTTATTTGTTCTTAGATTGCATGAAAATGGGTCTTATAGCAGTTCTCGAATAATTTGAATTTGAACCTCTATATGTTATATCCCAGCAACGTTGTAAAGGTAACTTTTCCAATATATATTTATTTCCCGTAGTTTTACAAGGTTCTGTTATATAGATTCCATGCTGTTCGTCTGAGCTGGCATTTTCTTTATGTAAAAGAAAGAAGTTCTCCAAAGATCCTGATACTTACAAAAGACAACAACTTTGATTCTTTTTTTAATTCATGCACTCCCGGTTTCCCATAACTTTTTGAACGTCACGTTTAGCTAGCTGGATAACATGGTCAACGTGATTATTCTTTTATGTTTTAGTCGTGTTTTAGTGACATCTTCTCCAGCAATTTGTTTGCATAGTGTATATTTATTAAGATGCTGCTTGATATCAACTTTCTCTGTTTTTCGTTTAGTTTAAAAGTTTGTGAAGTTTTTTAGTGCTTAAGATTCTAATTCGAGTTGCTTACCCTCCCTTCATAATCATTAATTGCAGTATCACCCAGGGGAATCAGTTGTTCTCTGGGTAAACAAAGTTGGCCCCTATAATAATCCACAAGAAACATATAATTACTATAGCCTTCCATTTTGTCACCCATCTGGGGAATCTGCTCACAAATGGGGTGGTCTTGGTGAGGTCCTTGGTGGAAATGAACTTATTGACAGTCGGATCGAATTAAAGTTTCAGAGTATGCAATATTTCGTGTTATGCTAAATCTGATAAGCTAGACATGGCTATACAGTTTGCTCATTAATATGTTCATGTTGCAGGAAATGTGGACAGAACTACCATTTGTCATCTTGATCTTGATGAAACAACGGTTAAACAATTCAAGGATGCAATCAAGAGCAGTTACTGGCTTGAATTCTTTATGGGTACGATCTGTATAATGTTTTATAGCTATGCTAGCACATACATAATTGATTGAATGGTGATATAATTCACTTCGGAAAATTTATTAAAATTGAATTTATCTGTCCATCACGACCTTACTTGCTTGTTGAGGAATAGGCCAGTTAGTTAAACATCTTAATCATTTTCAATTAGAACAATGGAAACTAATTGTCCTAACTTTTTTTTTACTACTAACAACGATATAAATTGGTAAAAGGGGCTTTTTAATCTCATTAAAAAAGGTAGAAGGGTACCTAATCGTAGTGACTTAACTCTTCATTGGACTAGATTTGCCCTTTAGCCTAGGTGCGATTTAAAATTCATTGGAGACCAGCTCAGAAGAATTTCAATGTTAGACATAAGGAGTGGAGGATATATAGAAGGGAACCTTGCTCGTCATAACTGAAATAAAGCAAGACCGCTTTCAATATTGTTGATCTCCTTTTCTTATTGGCAATAGATTTTTATCTCATATTAGTTTAACTTCATAATGAACTACAACAACTCGATCACCATTTTGATTTTGATGGTAAGCCTTAGGACTCATGTGTAAGTGATTTTGATGAGGGAGTTATCCTTACAATAGTTTCACACATTGTTAAAAGCAAATCCTATTTTTAAGTATGGTTTCTATTTGATCCTTAGATTTCAAATAGTTTCACACATTGTGCAAGTGATTTTGATGAGGGAGTTATCCTTACAATAGTTTCACACATTGTTAAAAGCTCATGTGATAATACTTACTTCTAGTCATTTGTGTTCATTTTCTATTAATTAACTTAAAAAAAGTAAATTAAGTATGATTAAATTAGTTTTCATTAAAATTTTGTCACTATTAATTTAAAAATTCCACATCACGATTAAATTATTTAGTTGAAAGTTAACATCAAAGGTCAAAGGTGAGCATTTATCGGTAAAATCTTGTAACTTGGGGACTAAAATGGAAACTAAACTCAAAGGTCAAAGATAAAAATACAGTATTTTGAAACATAGGGAACAAATGGAAATCAAATTCAAAATTCATGGACCAAAAAGATATTTATTTCTTCAAATAAGTAACATGTTACCTCACTAGCTTATAAGCATAGACATTATGGCTTGGGATGCTCCTCCCCCAAGGGACCAAATGGAAATCAACTCAAAATTCATGGGCCAAAAAGATATTTTTTTTCTTTCAAAGAAAAAACATGCCCCCCCCCCCCCCCCCCCCCCCCAGATAGACACTCTCAAGTTTTTCCATGCCATCTCAACGTTGTATTCTTTGGCCCAGAAAAAAATTATTTGACGGTTAGGTAATAAGAAATGAGCAGAATGTGTTGAATTGGACCTTAACTTCAATTAGCAACAAACTGCAGTTTACAATCAATTGTTTCTTTTCCCTTTTTTCTTTTCCTCCAGGTTATATCTAGTTGTAGCCTTGTGATCTTGATTCTTTATTGTAAAACTGACTCCTGTTTTATGCATATGTTTTTTTTCTTATTCTTTTCATGCCAAATACAAGTTCAGATGATCTGCCTTTATGGGGTATGTTCTCTGCCTGCTGCAGTTTGTTCAATTGGAGAGTTCTTATATTAGTTGATGGCTTGCTGAAATTTTGTTTTGCACTGTTTAGGCTTTGTTGGAGAGCTGCATTCAGACAAGAATAGTGAAGATGAAAAACATGTTCTGTACACTCATAAGAATATTATTGTTAAATACAACAAAGACCAGGTTTGTGAAAGTTCAAACTTTATACGGACTTTTATTGTGGTATTCAGTCAATTGATTTATAACAGCTAAACTTTTGTCCTGTAGATTATTCATGTGAATCTTACTCAAGAAAGCCCAAAGTCCCTGGAGGTTGGAAGATCTTTGGACATGACGTATTCTGTCAAATGGATACCTACCAATGTCACTTTTACCCGCCGCTTTGATATCTATTTGGATTATCCGTTTTTTGAGCACCAGGTATTCTATTGAATTTTAATAAATTTAACCTTTTATTTATTAACTTCTCATCCTGTTCAATTGTAAAAAGGTCATCGCACAGTTTTAATTAACTTCTCATTTTTACTAAATGCTAAGTTTGCCTGAAAAGGAAAGTCGGCATTCTTCAGAAAATAAAGAAGAAAAATCTTGTCCAAAAAGTGTTCAACTTCTATGTTTGGATTCCCAAACAGGATACCCTGCTCTCTTGTGCAGTATCTTTGCTCTTCTGGTTACATTTACGTTCATTGTGCTTGTGTTTCCGTTTTAGTTATGTAGCTACTTTGCTTGGGGCTCTTTGTTCTATTTTAACCAAGTACGGCATGTGTTTGAATGTGCAGATCCATTGGTTCTCTATTTTTAACTCCTTCATGATGGTCATCTTCCTTACTGGTTTGGTGTCAATGATATTAATGCGGACTCTTAGAAATGACTATGCAAAATATGCTCGGGAGGATGATGATCTGGAGACTCTGGTGATATTCCCTTGCTTTTTTGATCTCTTTCTTTCTTTATATATCTATTTATATCTGTGTGTATACTTGTATATTTATGTTTTCACGTATGCATAGATGTATATATATCTGTTTTTTTTAATATAAATTTTTGCTCCATGTTTGAGAAAATATTGATCTCTTATCAATTCGTTGTGTGTGCA